AGGGGCACTGACCTTCATCGCACCCTGACACAGTCCACTCCTTGGCTGTGGCCTCTGCCCTCTGAGCCGGGAGCTGCTCCAGCCACTGAGTACCTTCCTGCCTAAGGTGACCACCCTTTCCTTGCACCCCTAAAGTGATGACAGGAAATGGAAACGTGGCCAGGGACCCACAGAGTGCAGGGGCACTCCTGATGCTTTCAGGTTTTTGTGGGGTGCATGAACCGTGCCTTAGAGTCAGGAAGGGGTGGGGCCCCAGGTTCCTCTCTCTGCTTTGACTGTGATCAAGTCCAGACATACAGACGGGTGCACACACCCGATCCCATGCTCTCACTGGACACTAGAACTTCAGCTGCCTAGCTAAACTCCCAGCCTCACCTGGGAGATTTAAATTAAAAAATTTTAAATACACACCCCCCCTCCACCCAGTTTTCATCAAGAGAGGCATAAAGAAAAAGACATTTAAATTCATTGATAATAAGCCTCTCCCCTCAAAAGAATAAACCTGGGGCCTAGGCCACCTTTCTCAACCCAAGAGCGCTCACTGTCCTCCTTCTTACTCTCCCACGGCCGTGGTTCTCGGCCTGGGCTGCACGTCTGACCCACCTTGGGAAGCTTTTCAGGTTCCCAGGACCCACCTGGCCCAGGAATTAAACCAGAATCTCTGGGGGGTAGGACTCAGGCCTCAGGATTTTCAAATCTCCAGGCGATTCCAAAGTGCAGCCAAGGGTGAGACCTCCACACAAGTCGGAGAAAAGATACAGACGTTGTCAATAGCTTCTGCAACTTCAAGTGAAATAATGTATAACGAAACCAATTTTACTAAAGGCGAACTGATATTAACCAGTTAAGTTCCTACAACATCTCATCCACATTATAACAAACGGCATTGAAAGAAGTGACGCTATTCAAGGACCTGCTGCACTGAGGATGCCCTGATGTGCAGGGAAAGGAGACATGGAAAGCTACACACAGTGGGCAGGGAGCCAAGGGGCAGCCCCAGACGCTGGCTTCTTCCCCAACCCCCGGCAGAGCGGCAGGGGGTGGATGGGCGCAGCAGGTGTGCACTGGCCAGGAGAGAGGACCCTACATTCCTCTGCTCCCACCGCCTGCATCTTCTGAGGACTCGCACCTTCCCAGCAGCCTGCATTCAATCAGCAGCGTTGACTGTGGACTTGAAGGGGGCAGGGCAGAGAGCGAAAGAAACAGGCTGCTCAGTGAGACGGAACGAAGCCCTTTGTGCAGGACGCTAGATGTGGGGGTTAATTTCTTAATTCTCATCGCGATGCGGTTCACGGGAGACTCCCGGAATGTCTTTATCCGTCGCAGATGGTTTGGGAAGATGATAAATTAATATCATTTAAATGGGGGCCATGGCTGAAATGGTTAAATGGCAACGTCTTCTTTGCTGGCTCCAAAGGAGAAAGCGCCCCCTGGTCCATAAAGAAGACAAATGGTAAACAAAACCCCCTAGCTTTTGACAGATTCCAGGACGCGTATCCTTCACAAACCATTCTGGGGAGAAAAGAGAGAGATTCATCTCATCTGACTTTGTATAGGACAACAGCCCCCGCCATAATGAGGCCTTCGCGGGGCTGTGAAATCGCACTGAATAGCCGGAGAGTGCAGCCGCCTGTTCCCGGGCATGTTTATTACAGCCCTTTGTACGCGCCAGCCCTGCCAGCCTGGCTTGGTTCTAAACCACTGGAGAGGAGAAAGAACCCAACAAATTTGTTGCTACGAAACTTCCCGGACGGGGGACTGCATAATCACGTTGGGAACCGAAGGCCCTCGCTCCTCACTGTTCTTGTCTGGGTCCACCCCTGCTCTAGACAGAACAAGGTTGGGAGTCAGCCCATCGCCAGGAGTGTATGGGTGGCCTCATCCCCCTGCCGGGCGCCTCCCAGGCCCTGGAAAGTCAGGCAGGCGGTAAAGGGGGCCCTGATGCCATTCCTCCGGCCAACTGCCAACCTGCGCCAAGAGCCACGGCCGGTCGTCTCAGTGCCCCTGGAAAACGCATCGGAAACAGCAAAGGAGGAGGCGGGCGGCCTTCACCCGAGGGCTAGGCCGAGACGCCCTGAGGGCAACCCCAGGAGGCCGGGCACGGGGGTAGCTCCTCAGCGACACGGTCTGGAAGCTTCTGAGAGCAAACCCTGGGGGATCAACATACTGGGCCAAATGCTTCCGCCAAAGGAATCACTTCCTTAAGCCATCCAGCCCTGGAAGGCAAGACAGCGGGCTCCATGGAGGCGATGAAGAGACCTCCCTCTGCAGATCTCAACCGTGCATATCCCCCGCCAGCATCTCAGCTGCTGCAGCTGGTTCCTGACAAGACGGCAGGGTCTCTCTTTGCTGAGAAGTATCCTGAGAGGGAACTGAGGAGTCCAAGTTCCCACATCCCCTACGGGGGTGACAGCAGGAAAAGAAGAGCAGGGGGGACCTGGAACTGTCAGGTCACATTCTCCCTGCTCAGCTCAGAGCAGTTCCTCCCCGCAGTGGCTTTTCAGCAAGCACGAAGCCCTTCGGACAATGCTGTTCCCAACCAATCAGTGTTAGGACCAGCCGCGTAGCGGTTTCCCTCGCCAATCAGGCGGCAGGATCCTGGAAGCATTGTTTTTCCTCACCAATCAGGACACACTGAGAGTCCCGCCCTTTCCTGTCACTTTTCCCCAGCAGGATATGCAGGAATCCTTCTGAGCAGAATCCATCCATACGGTCCCCCTGCTCTGTGGGTTCTTCTCCCTGTGCTCCTACCGAGACAGGGGCAGCTGCTGTCCAGGGCTGAGCGGGAAGACACAGCCACTGCGGCTGGCCACAGCGTTTGAGATAAGACAGGGCCACCCCCTTGCCTGCCTGCACTTGTTCCTCCTGGGAGCTGGGTGTCTACACACCATTTAACCGGGTGGCAGAGCCCTAGAGGATGACCTACAGGTTCCAGAATCCTGTGGCTTCTTGACATCTCACTCGAAGAGGCAAGAGGCCACACATGGGCCTTGTCCCACAGCAACGGAGGGGAGGAGGGGAAGGCAAACGGCAGGGCGGCCAAGATGCTCCTTCCTGTCTCTCCAGGGGACACACCTTCCCTGCTCTGACAGCAGAAACGGAGAGGGAGAGCCCAGACCTCACCCACCAGCAGATTTCTCCATTCATCCAGAGTGGCCACTTTTGATCAAGATTTGTTGGCCAAATCCCCAAGATATCTGTGTGCAAGCAGCGGTTTATAAGACCTTGGCTTCAATTTCTTCTGTCAGTGAAATACAATGAACACTTGGGCATACGTGAAGGAGTTGGATTACCTTCCAATTATGTTCTCTGACAACCCAAAGCCCTCACTCGCTAGTCATGTCCCGCTCATGCCTTCCTGCCACTGCAGGCCTTTGTTGAGTCCCTTTGTCCAGGCCACTTTCTTAGTCCCTGCTCAAGTCTCCTGGGGGCGGTTCTCACCTGGATGAGTTGTTGTTTGATGTGGAAATAACCCAACTACCTTTATGCTTAAGTTTCTCTTGACAACCACCAGAGGCAGCCTTAAGTCCACAGATCAGAAAGGAGAGCTCGTTTGGAGCCACCTGTTCATTTGGAATCGAAGGGATTTCTCCAGGAAGACGCAGACTGGGAACCTGTTTTGTTTTTGTTGGCTTGTGGGGGGTTTTGTTTGTTTGTTTTTTGAGAAAAGCGTTTCAAACAAGCAAGGCCAGTGTCACGGGCACATGCTCCTAAGGTCACATGCTTGATTGAAGCTCTGCTGTTGCCATTTTGAAATCCTTAGCAATTCCTGAACAAGAAGCCCTATATTTTCTTTCTTTTATGTCTGTGTGTGTGTGTGTGTGTGTATTACTGATTGCTGAGAGGAAAGGAGAGGGAGAGATAGAAACATCAATAATGAGAGAAAATCATTGACTGGCTGCCTCCTGCACACCCCCCTACTGGGGATGGAGCTCGAAACCCGGGCATGTGCCCTGACCGGGAAGTGAACCGTGACCTCCTGGTTCATAGGTAGACGCTCAAGCACGGAGCCCTGCCAGCCGGGCACGAAGCCCTGTGTTTTCATTTTGCACCGGGGCCTGCAGGTCGTGCGGTTGTCCTGCGCACCAGTGCCTGACATCCGGTGGGTTTCCTGTTGAGAAAATGATGCTCTGGCTTCGTCCAAAGGCTAAGCAGTGGCCACGGAAGGATTTTTCTGCTGCAGCTCATCACCCAGGCCCGAGTCTGCCATGGCTGGGGTCTCTCAAGTGTCCCCCAAGAGCCCTCAGAGATATCATCTTGGGAAGCCATGCTCACAGCAAGCCCTGGCTCCAGCCTCCAAATTCTGGACCCAAAGAGCCCCGATTCCTGGAATTCCCAGAAGCTAATGTGGGGTGGGGCTCATTCCTCCCCCAGCATCATGCAGTTCCCTGGCGTTTCATCGGCTCTTCTGAGCCATCTCACCATTGCTTTGTTTGTGTTCGTGGGGAAAAACAAACACGCAACGTGAAAACATCAGTGCTTGCTTCAGTGAACGAAAATAGTCTCCATCTCCCTGTCGTACTTTGTCCTGAGTAGTAAAGCTACTTGCAGGTGGATTAAGTGCTCCTTCTGCGACCCTGCCCCTGAAGCCACGCTGTCTGTCTGTCTGAGCTGGGGGTGGGGCAGGAGGTGCATGCGACATCCAAAGAAATCCGTCTGCCGGGTTTTGGTAAAATAGAGCCCTTTGTGCGATGGTAAGCCGGGTGAACCTGACCCCCGCCCTGTGGTATGAGGCACACCTGTGCGAGGGACAAGCAGCTGGGAGGGGGCGGGGCGACCTGCACCCTCACAGAGATCACACCTCCTTTCTTCTCCCAGTCATTGCTGCATTGCCCCTTTGTTTGGGCCTACACCTCCGAATGCCAGGGAGGCCCTGCGTGTGTGCGTGCGTGCGGGCAGGCGCGTGTATGATCATGGACAAAAGCGACAGGAAAGGAGAAGCAGCGAGGAAAGAGAGGGGGCAGGGGTGCCCGATTCCCGCCCCCCCTCCACCCGCCTACCTTTGCAGGCCTTCCGGTGGGTGATGGGCTTGCCCATGTCGCGGTAGTAGCCCTCCTTGCAGTAGTGGCAGTGGCGGCCGGCCGTGTTGTGGCGGCAGTTGAGGCAGACGCCCCCGCTCTTGCGTCCCGACAGCTTGTAGAGCTCCATGTTGAAGCGGCAGCGCCGGGCGTGCAGGTTGCAGCTGCAGGCTGTGGAGGGGGCAGGGAGAGCGTCAGGAAGGGGCGCCTGGGGGCCGGAGACTGCCCCCAAGTCCCCTCTTCCACCGCGGAGCTTCTCCTAGGCTCCCCCGTTTCCCACACACAGGCTCCTGGACCACCTTGCAGGGCCTGCACCACAGGGAGACTTCATTTCCCTCAGCACCCGGCCCCGCCATACACACTCAGGGTGGGGAGGGGACCCGGCATCCCCTTGTGCCCAAATCCGCTTGCTCAGGGCTGTATTGTGCCTCCCCCATTCACCTGCTACCCTAACTGACCCCGGACCTCAGAATGTGACCTGTTTGGAGATGGGGCCTTGAAAGAGGTGGTTAGGGCCTTGAATGAGGCTGTGAGGGCGGGCCCTCATCCAATCTGACTGGTGTCCTGGGAAGAGGAAGTGTGGCCACGGAGCCAGACACCAGGGCACACACACAGAGGAGAGACCAAGTGAGGCACAGGAAGAAGGTGGCAGCCGCAAGCCACCTGCCGCATGGGGACCGCAGCCTTCCTTCCGCCCATCCTCCTCCCCTCTGCTGGTCCCTACCTGTTCCTCAGGGTTCAGCACCCTTTCCCTTGTTCACCCCTCATCAGCTTTGACTCTGGGGTCCGCACTGGGACCCAGAGGCAAGTCCTCCAAATCCATTCACTGCTCTCCGGGCTGCCAGACCTCAGCCCCGCTGTCTCCTGGGCTGAGCCCTCTAGGCCAAGCATGTCAAACTCGGGGCCTGCGGGCCACTGCCTCGTCTAAATAAACAGCTTGCTCCTAGGCTGTTCTCAGAACAGGAGCTCTAAGCGTCTGAGGATGCCCTTTACCTACTGAAGCCTTTCAATGGCTCCCAGGTTTTCCCTGTATAAAATCGAAATCATTTCCTGTGGCCTCGAGGACTCTCGATACGCCGATTCCGCTTCCACTTCCCGCTCTTAAGCTCCAGCCAACTCGTCTAGTGTGCCCTGCGTGAGGACCCTCTGCCTGCCCCCCTACGACTTTCCTCGCCTCTGAGGACCTTCTCCCAAGCCCCCTCCTCATCTGCCTGCAACCTACTCACCCTCCACGTACTGGTCTCAGCTGTCACTTCCACGCCCACTGTCACCTCCACCGGCCTGGCTTAGGCAAGAGGGCCATGGGCTCCCCAGGCATCGGCACAGCCCCCACAGCCCTCCTCATGCCACCCCGGGAAGCGCGCTGCCTGCCTTCCCCCTTAGGTCTCTAACGCCAACATAACTCCAGCTTAGATCCGCCCGATCTTGCTCACCCTGTCACATAATTTGCCCTGCTTTGGGGCTAAGCTTGTTTTAAATGGCATTTTATGTAATTTCTAAGGAAAGACGTGCTTCATGCCAGACATTTGAAAAACAAAAGCAGAAAGGGAAAAACTGCACTCCAATTTCCACCGACGGCTGCTAACACGAGGGCCGTCCTCGCAGACTTGAATTAACATTTGCTCAGCTGTGGAGCTGCTCAGTTCTGCAGCCACGGATCACACGTGTGCGTCTCGGGCTCGTGGCCTCGTGCCTCATAATGGTGAGCATTTTTTTTGTGTCAGACAATGTTCTTCATGATTTTGAAAGCCTGCCTAGTCCACCTCTGTCCGGACGTGTGTGATGGGGCTGCCTGGATCTGCAGTGGGTGCATTCACGCTCAGGGCCTCCCCGGGTTGGGTGGCTGGGTTGCTTCCAGTTTTTCACTATTATTATAAACAACGCACTGAGAACCACCTTTGCACTCACGACTTTTTACTCTGCTCTGATGACGGCTGTACAGGTAAATTTCTCAAGACAGACTTGGTAGTTAGGTTTGGGGTCTACATGTTTTAACTTGGGATCCAAACTGCCAAATTCCCCTCCAAAAAAGGCTTCCACTCCCATCAGCAGGATATGAGAGCTCCTATTGGACACGCCCTTGAAAAGAATAATAATATGCATTTGGTATCAGCATTCATTTTTGAAAAAAATCTTTGCCAATTCGTCTGGAAAACACACACACACATACACACACACACACACGATGTTAATTTGCATGTCTTTGATTCCCAGTGAGGCTGAACATTCCTCCATGTTTGTTTTTCTATTTATACTTCACTTTTTGTGCACTGCCTGCTCATGCCATTTGCCTAGTTTTCAAACAAGGTGTTGTTTTTTCCACCATGTCTAGCGCTCTTAAATATGATGGATGAAAAACCACCTGTCCTTTCTACTATATAAGCTGCCAATGTTTTTACCAGTTTCTTATTCAGGTATTACTTGTGTGGTTTTCACAAAATATTTGCCCCTTTGATGTTTTTCTGTGACGTCATAATAAGCTTCTTTAAATGTCCTGCCCGGAGCCGCTCTCCACATCACGCCCCCATTCGTCACTTCAGTTACACGTCGAGATGGACAAGTGCTTCCGAGGAGGCTCAGTGGGGAGACAGAAGGCAGCTCACGCCTGACGTCTGGAAGCAGCTGGACACACGAGGCCAGGGAAGGCCTCCTGAGAGCTTCACAAGCTCCCTCAGCACTCCAGCCCTCGGCGCTGAGCGCAACTAAGTACAAAGAGAAGCCACAGCCCCCAGCACTGGGGGTCGTGCACACACAAGTTCCTTGTCCCTGTGGACTCCCTCAACCAGTCCAGGATGACGGAGCTTCTCCGCGCAGTTAAGCGACTACCAGCCCGGGACCGCCAAGCCAGTAAAGGGGGGGGGCCCGGGACCAGAACCCAGGTCTTCCAGCTCCTGGTCCACTGCCCTCATGGAAGGAAGAACAGCGGGGCCTAGACTACAGCCTGGCAGGGAGGCTTTCCTGCCAGCACAGAAGCCACAGGGCCTGGCTCACCTGCCCAGGGACAGGGGTCTGGGGAGACCACCCAGGCCTCACTCCCTCGGGCCTCTCACCCTGGGAAAGGCCTCAGGGGCAGCATCTTCTCCTTCCTTCTCGGAGGCAGATGCTAATCCTGTGTCCTCCTCTGCCAGGATGGCTCCAGCTGCCCCCCATCCCCCCAGCCTCTGAGCCCCCGCTGGGAGCTCGGCCCGCGCCCCCACCCTGACTCCCACTCCCACCCTGAGGAGAACCTTGGGTTGGTTTCTCCCTTCCATAGGCACCTTACACCAACAAAAGGTTCTTCAAACAACTGGCCACACAAAAGAAAACTCAGAGGCTGAACATCAAAAGGCAGGGCTCCCCTCACCCCCACCCCACCCCCACCCCTCGTCTTGGAGCTGTCAGGGGACATCAAGTGGCGATTGCCCACGCTCAACCTTCTGCAAAGTATTTTACAGCTTGTTTTCTTTTCTCTTTGTTTTATTTTCTCTGCACAAATGGAAAAATGCAGCAGGCAAAGCCGCTCACATCTGGATTCCCCCGCTGCTCCACATGCAGATGTCACCCACCTCCCCACCTGTCCCCAGCCCCTTTCTCAGAGACACCTTAATCCCCTGCGCCTTCCTGTTTATCCCCTGCTCTCTCCGAGGCAAAAATATTGGGTATTAGTTTCATTATCAGATTTCAAGGCGGGGAGGAAAGGGCAGCTTTGTGAGCACAGAGAGGTCAGCCCCGGGCAGAAGGGCGGGGGGCTGGGGCAGCACAACTTCTGAGGAACCAGCACAGGCTGCCCTGTGAGGCGCTATGTCCTGTCCAGAGGTCCCCCAGCCACCCTGAGCTCTATGCCCCCTCACCTGTCATGTGGGGATCACCAAGGATACATCATGTGTGGCTGCATTGCAGACCCAGGGGCATAACATGGGGCAGGAGGGAGGAGGAAGAGACCCCCCCCGCCACACACACACACACACACACACACCCTAACCAGAAACCCAACAGGAAATGCGGCCCAAGAGACAAGGTTCTGTTTTCTTCTCCCATGAGAAGTTCTCCTATGTCCTCGTTAACATATGCCAGTCACCACTGCTCCTTAAGCTTCTTCAAAGCTCTCCCACCAACCTGGACTGTGCAACCCCTCACCCCCCCAGGCCAGTTCAGTCCAACACACAGCTAGGCACTCCCGCCGCCTGCCAGGCCCCGTGCCACCGGCCGTGAGGGAGACAGGGTGGACAGGGCTCCCCCGTCTGGAGCTCCCCCCCGGAGGGAGGTGGAGGCACAGGCGGGCACGCTCTTAGACAAAGTGCGACACATGCTGTCTTTGGCTGTGTTGTTTTCGCGGAGGAACAGTGTTTGCCTTATACCCTCCAGCCCAGAGCAGACCTCCATGTTTTTGTTGCACTAATGAGAGAGCGCAAAAGTAAGTCAGACAGAATATGGATGGATGGATGGATGGATGGATGGATGGATGGATGGATGGATGGATGAGTGCATGAATGGATGGATGAGATGGATGGGTGGGTGGGTGTGAATAGATAGGCGGGTGAGTGGATAGATGGGTGAGTGGTGGATAGATCAGTGATGGTGAGCCTATGACACGCGTGTCAGAGGTGACACGCGAACTCATTTTTTTGGTTGATTTTTTTTTGTTGTTAAATGGCATTTAAATCTATAAAATAAATATCAAAAATATAAGTCTTTGTTTTACTATGGTTGCAAATATCAAAAAATTTCTATATGTGACACGGCACCAGAGTTAAGTGAGGGTTTTTCAAAATGCTGACATGCTGAGCTCAAAAGGTTCGCCAACACTGGGATAGATGGATGGATGATGAATGGGTGAGTGGTTGGATGAGTTGGATGGATGGATGGATCAGTGGGTGAATTGGCAGGTGGGTGGGTAAATGGGCGGGTGAATGAACAGATGGGTGGATGGGTGGATAAATGGTGGGTAGGTAGTAGGTACAGATAGGCTGAAGGAAAGATCGTGTGGTCTGCCCAGACTGCACCCTGACAAGCATGCTCCTGTGATATGCGGCATTCCTTTTACCTTGTATTGCTACTTTAACGGTCTGTTCAAGTAGACTGCAGTGCTTTAAGGAGAAGAACCCGTATCTAGGATGCCCCAGACCAGCGGTCACCAACCTTCCGGACCTCACGGACCACCAGTGATCTGCAGACCACCGACCAGTGCCCGC